GACAATTTCAACACAATGATCTTTGCCCTCTGCCATGCCACTTGCATCAAGACGAATTATCAAGATAATCTGAAAGCAGCATTATTACTTCAGCACTTTCCTAACTCATTAGTAATCTGGTGCTTATGATAATCTAAACCTGAAAGACATGGGTAAATTGAACAAATACATATGTTACAAGAACACGACAGAAAGGCTTTTCAACTTTATTTAAACAGGTTTTACTATTCTGCTCCACCTGCTAGATATATTAGTTTTTTATAACACATAACCTACCACTACACTAAACACAGTTTTTATTTAAAGTAATGTGCCTGTCATCATCTGACCCTGACACATTACGGTGTCTGGTCAGAAAGACAAGCTGATTTGCAGCTTATATAGCTCAGGAATCATAAAATACCTGTGTTGAAGTGATGCTGGCAGCTTAGCATGAGGCAAAAAGTCTCAACTGCTGAAATGTAGAGTAAGTGGCACTTCAAAAAGGTTCATTTTTTTTTTAAATAGATTAGAAAATTAAGTGATTATCAAATCCTCTAGAAAAGTTTTGTGAAAATTGACCTATTATCTGGTCTGTTCATAGCACTTTGACATGCCCTTATTTAATTTGCTGCTGCAAAAGCTAAAGAAAAGAAAAAGAGTAAAACCTTATTAATCGGTCTAATTTACATACCAAGTGACAAAGTGACATTAATTACTTATTTTAACACAGATGAATCTCTGTAAGCTCAGCCAAAATGTAAGAGTGTTCCAGCTGAAAACATGATCTTCCCAAACCAGGACCTGCTTTAGAAATGGAGATTTTTTTTTAGTGCAGTATGGAACAGTAAATAAATTTTATCAGAAGCGAGAGCAGTATTACCTTTTATTTAGCAAAATTGAAAAATTAAATGCAAACCAATAAGAATTTAAACCCAGTAGTGTCTATCTGCAGAAGAAAACTAAGCATTTAGATGAGCATTTTTTTGCACATCTTCAGGGTACATTGAGAAGAACTCTGTCTCCACCTACTGGACCAGTTACAAAAATGTTTGTAGTTTGAAAACGGCACAGCAGGATTGCAAAACCATCTGTATGAATATGTAACTCAATTACCTTGAAGATACTAGTCTGACAGAAGTTTTTCTTCTCCTTGCTGTTAGCTATCCACATGCCATACGTTTGAGAACATTATACTTCATTGTTTAATCTCACCTAAACCTGTTCTTGTGTTCACAGCCAAAGACTACCTATCTACCAGTCAAAATACACTGTAACTGTAAACTGCTGTTTTCAAAATACTACAGCTGAGCACTTGAACTCTTATCCTTTTGGACTGTGCTGGATTTAAAACAGTATAGCACTATCAACATAAAAAATCAAACTTACATTATGGTGGTTGTTTTGGTTCCAGGTTTTTGTTTGTTTTCTTTTTTTTTTAATTCTAGTGTATGCGGGCACATCCATACTGGTGTTTCAAGTTGGATAAAATCACTGAATCATACAATGGTTTGGGTGGGAAGGGACCTTAAAGATCAACTCGTTCCAACCCCCCTGCCATGGGCAGGGCCGTCTTCCAACCATCTCACACAGCCCAATTACCATATAAGCAAAACCAATTTCTCATCTGGAATAGTCTCCATTCTTTCCCCCAGCAGACAATGTTCTGTTTCCCAAAAGACTGTGTGTACGTTCATACACATTTGTTTAATTGTTCCTTCCCACACATCAAATGAGCACACAAATGTACCACTTACTCCACGTATCTGCCTTTTCTGTTTGTTCTGACAGCGAGACCACTCCTTCACAAGACATCTTCATAACTGCCTTTCGATCAAGTTTCTAGTCAGAATTTCCTAAGCCATGTCTTCCACAACAAGAGACCCACTGGGAAAATCAACCAAAATCAACAACTGTTTCTGGTAGACTCTCCATCCTTTTTCCCAACCCACAAAAAGATTAAAACATGGATCTTCAGCACCATTTTTCTTCTATACGTATCTCAGTCTCGGGTTAACAGGTTCATGCACATACATTACAGTACGTAGAAATACTCCTCAAGCAGCTCCCACAAAAGCTGAAAACCCATAGAGAGCTACCACCCCTGAAACAATCCACCCATGCCATTCCTGAGTTTGTCACTGGGCAAAGAAAGCAGGCTGTACAAATTCTGACCCCCAAGAATCCCATTGCTCTTTTCCCCAAGCAGCAATGAGAGTCACTTTACAAGCACAATTCAATCAGATCTCACTTGCCCACAGAGACTTACTGCATATACAGAGACTAACAAAGCCATGCTAGGAGCACAACACCATCACTGCCTTCCCTTACCAGAAAAATAAGCTAATGGACTAACCAAGCATAAAGGTGGTAACCGCTATTCTAGCTAAATAATAGTGGAACTGTTTATAAAATTCATCTTTCATCATATTGATTTTGCCATGCACAATACCTCGGAGTCTTTTCCCCATAAGAAGTTCGCTCCTTTATTTAGCCTCTTGCTTCTTCCCAAGCCTGTTTTCTTTCAGGATCTCCTTTCTCACCACAAGTAACACCAACTAAGATACCACCTCAGTTACCCTCTAGTGCTCAGTCTTTGCTTTTCTTACAAATTTCTTCAGTGGAAGAGATCTCTAAATCCTTTTACCTAAATGCCACACCCTTTCTCTAACCGTTATTATGCTTTGACACTTCAGAAAACAATCTACATTAAGTATTTAACCATTCACATGAGTCTGCTTATGTTGTACAAATGCATACTCAAGAAATAGACCACGTGAGTCTGAAACAATTACAGCAACCACTTTCCACCAGAGAGAAATAAACAATCTTTTCAGTCTGCTCCCTCAAGTTCCAAATAGTATATCAACTGTTCCACCCGTTTAAGTAATAAAAGCCTCCCACTGTGAGTTCAGACTCTCAGCTATGTTAAATATTTTTTTGAAGAGAAAGATTTGCCTGAAAGTTATGTACCCTGACAGCACCATACTGCCATAACTGCCCAAAACTGTACAGAGCATGCTAGAGTAATTGCTGGAAACTACAATTTCAAGTTAGAACTTCTGTTAAGCCTCAAATATAAGCGTAAGACAAAAGAGTGTGACAAACCTCCCAAAAGCTGTATTTTAATATCTTGTTACTTATTTCTCATACCTGTTACAAGCCATTCAGTGTTTCTCAATAGCTCATATAAGCACTTCTGATGAGATACTTCTCACTTAGTTCACAAAAACCCTTATGTTGTTACTAACGGAGGGGTTAAGCTTTTGTATTGTCTTCTAACCGACAAAGGAAAACTCAGTCTCCAACATCAACCTCAGATATCAGAAGCACCAAAAATTACCTGCTGCTCAAAATATGCAGCAGTCTGTATCTCTCTGCCCTACCACATACACAACAGATTATTCGTTGCTGTTCAAAAACTTTATTACACCTTACATAATTCACAATCAAAAAAGAACACCAAAATCCACAAAGATATACAACATACCAAGCAAAATACAAGGAAGGCAAAGGCAGAATGGAAGATAAGACAGAAATAAAAATCAATCTCTGTTTAACATATGTAAGTACAGTAAATATTGGTGATTAACAAGTTGAATGAAAATATTTAGAAATACTTCTGTTTTCTCAAGCTTTAAACCACGATCTGTATATCCTGAAAACCACAGAACAGACTTACCTTTCTGTAGACCACAGACTGTAGACTGTTTAATTTGTGTATTCTGTGTTTTCAGCTACTAATGTAACCAACTTACGTAGCTACTGTATTACAGGTATTGATTAATACAGTGGCAGCATGGTTAAAATTGAATTAGCTTAATCTGGTTTAAATTTAAAGTCACCTTAAAAGGCTTCTAAATTTCATTCAGGAATCACACAACTCAGGACCACAAAAGGGTCTACAGAATTGAATCACCATCCTCCTGAACAGTGTCACCATTCGAGTGAACATTAAAAAGATGAAATTGTATTTAAATATTAGGAAATAACCCTTTTCTCAAAGACATTTTGTATTTACTTATTATTTTTTAAATCAGATCTGACCACGCACAGAGTGTGTTTATTATCATACATAAACTCACCTGCTTTAAACTTCTAAATTGTTCTCTCCTTCATATTGCCCATGAAACCCTTTTTAAGGATGAAATTTCATAACCCAAAAAGTTTAACTGCACCAGGGTGCATACTGACTTACTGTGGAATTGTTTCTACCAAGAAAATAATGTTCTCTCTGATCTGGAACAATGAATAATGCAGAGAAGATCAAGGAAGTAGAGTCAGGATACAGACTGAGATGTCAAGCATTCTGAAGATTTTAAGCGGACTGTTCTTGGAACTGTTTTTCCCCCCTAGACAAGATCTAACCAAATTATGTAGTTAGTATGTACTGTCCCTCTTCTAACTCTCCCCTACTCCAGAGGTACTTTCTGCTTGAAGCATAACAGGACAATGGAACCATCTTCGCAATATCCTTCCAAAATTGCTGAAGTGTCGGGACTCAGTGCTGCTATCAGCAGACGTTCAGAGGGGCCACCCGAACCTGCTTTCTCAAGAGCATCAGACTGATTACCAGTGCGTTGGTTGCTTTGCAGTACTTGCCTAGGCACTGTACACATGCAAATAAGCTTACACTTAATAAGGGAAAAGACACATTTACAAGAGAGAAGAAAGTTTCCGCAGTAGCTAAAGCATTACTTACAGTATGGCTTATTTCTTTATCTCTCTTATTTACCCTTTCGCCTTTCAGATCCAGTCAGTTTCTTGTCTCCCTTCTTCCATCTTTGTTTTGTTATGTGAGCTCACAACATGAGACAGAACACAGACTTCACAGCTGCCAACACCACCAAAGGAACAACTTACTGCCAGACAGTAAAGGTAGCACGAAAGGAACGATCAGTTTTTCAAATACGAAAAACGTGAATACAGCTGCTAGCAAATCATTTAGTGTTCAGAGAACAGATTAGATTATCATTTAGTGCTTATTCAGTCAACGAAAAATAATAAGATAACATTAGTACCTCCTACTTTCAGCCAAACTTGCACCTTCATCCTTCAGCTCCTTACTTTTCTTTACACAGTCTCCCACGAGAATTTCCTTTCTTCTCTTGGTGGCATGCACCCAGTTTGCATCATCATCATCGGCCGGATCCTTGTCCTCCGCAGCCTCTGCTTCAAACTGCTGAGAAGTAGCTTTCGAAACCTTCTCACCAATCTTTCTTTTCCACCCAAAAGAAGCCATCTAGAGCACTACAGAAAAAACGTATTTTCAGTAGTTAGCTAATTTAGCTTTTAAGCACATGGAAGAAAAAATACGCCTCGCTGATCTCGATTCTAAAACGGCAATATATCAGACTGCCACCGCCCCACACAAACCCTGCCCCATCGGCTTCACCGGAGGCGCTGGCCAGGCAGCTGCAACTCTTGAGCCCAGCTGGAAGATGTCCTCTAGCAGGAAAAGAAAGAAAAAGGGGGGGGAGGAAGCCACGGCTCCAGGGAGCCCTAACACGTCGAAGCCA